TATATTTTGAACTGGAAGAAGGAAGGAGAAAAACATAATTACAGGGGCTCAGAGGGATACGCTGTCTGCTTCACTATCTGGAATTCGCATCAAAAGGCAAATTTGGCTCTGAGGAACGATGGGAAAACAAACACCGTCAGTTAAATGGCAGTGCTGTAGCAAAATTACATCCGTGTGCAGGGCATGGGATTCCCCCTCCAGGAATGCGTAGCCAAACATCGCTCTCTAGAAGTATGAACTTCAGTTACTTTTTCTCTTTTCTCGTTTGGGCGGACACAACATGACAATGGGAGGAGACACCCAGCAGTGTTCAAGCCTGTCAGGACACTTCCCCTCCAGGCAAGCAGGTGGGTTTGGTATTTCTGTTTTTCTGTTTCTTTCCTCATCAAGGTCTCCATATTGTGCACCACCCAAACCGTCTCTGCAAAATTTATGTCCTTTAAGAACACACACACACACGCACACACAGATACAGAGGGAGGGAGGGATGGCTGAGGGTTCAAAATGGTGTAAACAATCTGTGAGGCTGACTACAGGAGGGATCGCTGGAACTCATCCAGAACAAGTCTTCAGTTTGCCCAACATTATAAAGGCAGGTGTATATAGAGAGAGACTTCATATGGTCTGCTGCTGATGCACTACAACAATTCTATAAATGTATATAAAGATAGCCAAAGAGCCCAAAAAATCCAGAACAATCATCAGATCCCGGCCGTGAAAGCCTCCGAGAATACAATGTATATAAACATATATAAATATATATAAATTCCCCCCCCCACTTCCCCTGCCGTTTGCCTAGCAGGGATAGTGATGCAGAAGTAGCTCGCTTATTAAGCCGTGTCATGACGTTTGGCCGGAGCCCTTTCCCTGCGGATGGCCAGGCTTGATTCGATGGTTCTCACCGAGCCTGTCCATTTCCACGTGGCCCACGCTCACGCAGTCTCTGGTGCTAGTGTAGCCATCCCCTGTCACAACACACCCACGGACCAGCTTTGTGCAATTTCTGTTTGGCCAGAGTTAATCATTTTGCAGTCATCTCCATTAAAAACACCCTGAAACAACAGATGGATATAAACCTATCACGACATTAAAGCCACCACTGAAAACAATTTTAAAAGCATTTTAACACACTGTTTAAAAAATGGGTGGAGCGGGGAGGGGGGGTTGGGCATTTTTATTGACAGTTTTTTTTACCTTGATCTCAACTCTCTGGAGAGTATAGCTGAGGATGATGATGGTTAGAAGAACAAGGGCCACAAACCCTGAGGGGCATCTCATGGCAGAAGAAGATCCGTCGGAGGAGACGCCCGAGACAGGAGTCACCTGCTTTTAAGCCCAACCTGGGAGGGGCGACAGGTTGCCGGAAAGCAAGGAAGCAGCAAAAGGCTGCTTTTTTTTTCATCCACCTTCACTTCTTTTCTTTTCCTCTTTTTTTATAACAATAAGTCAACTAAATGCAAAACTTGGAAATGAAACTTAACAAGCATGCCATCCGAAGAACAAGCAGAAGAAAAACACAGAATATAACGTCCACGTTCCATTCTGTGCTCCCCACTCCCCTCGGGACAAATGTACAGTACTTATTTATTTTGCTTTATATTTATTGGCCTGTTTCCCTCCAGAAATATCCCAGAGTAGTCAGTTGACTAGATGGGCGGTGTATAAATACAATACTGTAAATAAATACTGTAAACAGATAAACAATGGATCCTTTTCCAGGGGTATAACCTTTTCCTTTCTCAAACACAGGTGCAAAAAACAAATTCCACATTAAGAGCCCGAAAAACCCGCAACAACCATCAAATCCCACATTATCTTTAAAATCATTTGCACCCAATATGCCTTTTCTCATCTTAATTTCACAGGTTGTTTTATCGTTAAGAGCCCTGTGACACATTTCTTTATACTGTTCCCCCCACCCCAGGAATCTGATTATTATTTTTGGAGTTCCTTGCAAATATCTGTCTTGCCACTGTTACCGTACTAATAACTACATCATTCCCCTTCTTCTCGCTTCCCCTGATTATAATTAACCCTCTTCAAAAGAGCTATCGCCGGGCCCATTTCCCCATCAGTACCCATCATTTCCGAAAGCTCTGTAAAAAAATCATCGATCAGTCCTTCCTCCTGGTTTCACGAGTCCACCACATGTGCTGAAAGGTTCCACATTTGGTTCTACGCATTCCAACCTAAAGAAGGCATCGTTGAAGGACAGCTTCACCCATGTTAGGTCCCACCTCCATCCCACTTTGCAACCTTTAAAAAACAAAAAACACCTCTTGCAGGCGTGTTTTTTGTTCTTCTTTCCCTCCCCATCTTCTTCCAAGTCCACCTTCCCCTTCTGAGGGTTTCTTCTGCAACTCTTCAGAGGCCCTGCAAACCCTCCGAGGGTCTTTCCCCTCCTGGCTCCTTGGGGACCCACCGAGAAGCAGCCATTGGGGTGGGGTGGGGACTTGGCAGAAGTGATTAGCAGTCAGCTTCCTTATGCGCACGGCTTTCAACTCTCTGTGGAGAAGAGCACATTCTAACCACCACCTTTGTTTCAGGCTTCCACCCAGAGCAGTCTTTGTTTGGACATCCGGCAGGATATCCTCCCCTCCTTTCCTTTGGCAGAGCAAACCCAACGGCAAGGAAACGGCTTCAAAGTCTCTCCCACCCTGCAAGCTGGCGAGGATGAGGCCAAAAAGCTCCTCTCTTAGGAAGACACCCTCTGGCACCTTTCTGTCTGTCTCTCTCTCTCTCTCTCTCTCTGCCTTTCTCTGGGCCCTGTGCATGCACACGTCTTGATGGGGAAGGCACCAGCCCTTCAACCTGGCTCTTCTGCAAGGGATGGATGCCCCTGGGCCCTCTGGGGCCGGATCCTGCCCTCCTGGCCCAAGTGCACTCTCACTCTTGGTCATCAGCCTTGCAGGAGAAATGTCTCCCTCTTCTGTCTCCCTCCCTCTCTTTTGCTTCCTCCTTTTGCTCCTCCCCACTGTCAACAGTGTGTGTGGGGGGTGGGGGGTTGCATGACAATGTATGTCTTTCAAATTTTTATTTTGCACCCAAGAACTTGTCAGGGAAGGGATGGGCTAGGCCCCCTCCGGGCAGAGGGAGGGCAGAGGAGAGGAAGAATGGCTCAATGGGTAACCATTGAGCATGTGCTAAGATTATGTAAAGGGGCTAGATGCCTCCTCTGGCTGGGAGTAAAATAAGCATTTGTAGGGCACAAACACACGCCCCATTCCAAGGGTGGGACAGACAGAGAGGTGTCCCCGCTCACTGATCACACCGTAGTGGGCAGGGACCCTCCCTGGTGGGCAGCCTTCCTTGGCACTTTCGCCCCAAACCCAGCCACCGATTTAATTCATGCGGCTGGTTCAGGGGTTTGCCCAGGAATGACCGCCCGCCCCCCTGGGCTTTCCTTAGGATTTGGGGTTGCCCCCTTTGGCTGTGCCACCTCGGCCCAGCTGGTGTTCATATTCCAATGGGCAGCAGAGTGGAACGTCCCACTGGCTGGAAACGCTGGCGGCGGCTTCTCTGGATCCACGGGTGTCATTGGCTATATTGCTTGCCTGTTAAATGCCCCGGATGGAAAGTCACATGCGCTTAAAATGAATAACGAGGGGAGTTTTATTGGGGACCCAACAGAAGGCATTTTTGGAGGGGGGGGAATGGGGAGTCAACGGAAGACAGAAAAGTCAGTTGCTAGGAACTAGGAGCTCCATCTGAAGGGCAAAACCACCCTAATTTTATATTCGCCTCCAGCCTTCACACATAACACAGCACCGCACACCGCTCTGCGACATCCCAATTCCAGACCCACTGTTCAGACAGACTCAACACACAACAACGGCCTTAAAATTTTCACCCTTCCCTGCCAGTCCGCCTCACATTGCGACACATTTAGAAAATACACGGTCCAGCGACCGCTCCGCCCAGCCCCTAAGCGCTCTGTCACCTGTCCGCAAAATTGTTCTGGTTTTGTGGGGTTTTGTTTGTTTGCTTATTTATTTGTACCCCACCTTTCCTCTCAAAGCAAGCTCTCGAGGCGGGTCAAGAACGGCTTGGAAGAATAAAAACAGATAAAAGCCAAATGTAATGGCTTAAAAAAGAGAGTCGTCCAAAAAAAAGGGGGGGCCTGGCAGGATAGCTCGAGGAGTCTGGGCACCCGGCTGCGAAGCCAGAGCCTGGATGCCCCACTGATTCCCCTCACAGGAGAGGAGCCCGGCCAGTCTAGCCTCGGGCAAGAAGCCATGCCCCGGGAAGGACCCCCCCTGAAAAAACAACAACGAAAGGAGTCATAAGTACTCTAGACCAAGGGAAAAGTTGACGTATGTCAAGGTCAAGTTGAGAACACATGATGATGATGATGATGATGATGATGATGATGATGATGATGATGATGATGATGATGATGATGATGATGATGAAAAGTAACTTCCCCAAGCCCTGTATGGAGGAGGCTCCGTGCTCTGGGGAGGCTACCTCAGGTGCTGTGGGCAAGCAGGTGGGAAGACCCTGGCTATCAAGAACCAGCCCTTCCCTTAAGCGTCCCAGAGGCAGCGATTGGAAATATTATCCAAGGATGAGAGGAAGGTGGGAGATGCCATCTTATATTCTTAGGGGAATCCAGAGCGACAAAGGGTCTGTGTCTAGGTATCTGTATATTTTGGCTTTTCCACACCTCTAATACCAACTACGGGAAAAAATGAACCATGTCTTCCAGTGTCATTGCTGCCGATGCACCATCTTGAGCATAATCCAGCTACAACTATCATCCTGGAATCATTGCTGCCGATGCACCATCTTGAGCATCATCCTGGAGTCACCTCAGTATCTCAGCAGATGCTGTTTAAAAACATTTTGATTTCATTCCAAACCACGTGATCTGGGGGATGAACGTTGTTCGTGCCGTAAGCCACCGTCATATCCCAGGCATCGATGAAGACCACATTCAGGTCCTGAAAGATCTCTTTGATTGCCAGGTACTGGGCGTAGCCGTGGAAGTCGCTGAATCGCTCCTGGTCGACGTCCAGCTCTCGTACGTTTTCTCCCTTGAGAACGACCTTCGTGCCCGGACTGCGCAGGAGAAGGCGGCGGATGGCGCTCCGCACGTTAAGGGCCCTTCGGAGGAACAGCTCGAGCGGGAAGGGGCGGAAGTGTTGGCCAATGGCTATGATAACGGCCGTGGCCTCGTCACCAGCCACCTTGTCGATCTCTTGAGCGATATAGCTGTGGTCTGTGACCAGGTACTCGTGGCCCGTGACTAAAGGGTGGTGGTGTTTTCTCCACTGGATCTGAATGTTTTGGGCCAGGTCCACAGCGATCAAGTTCTTGTGCTTTCCAGCTCCGTGGCTGTCAAGATACCGAAGAGCTAATGGGGAAGAGACACACAGTGTCAGTGCAGATGTTGGGTTTTGATTTACTAACATCTACCCACATGCTGGCTGGATTGTTCAGTGGTTTCAGTCTCTGGCTGTGGAGCCAGAGGTTGGCAGTTCGATTCCCCCACTAGGCCTCCCGGCAGAAGAGCCAGCCTGGGTGGCCTCGGGCAAAAGGTGCAGGAGGAGGAAAGGGGAAACCACTTCTGAGTCTTCTCCACCTGGAAAAAGGGTCACCATAAGTCAGAACTGACTTGACAGCACATGGTTGTTATTATTACTAATTGTCCACTGGGAAATTGTCATATTTATGGAAGAAAACTCTGCGGGGCAGTCGGCTCCATGCTCATGGGTGTGTTGATGTCATTTATTATGTGGAGAAAGAAACATCCCAAGATTTATTTAGCAATGGGATGATTTTCTTTCTTCTACCTGACCAGCATTTCATTTCTGCTCTTGGTGATGTCGATAGGTAGCTTATTTCAGAGGCTTATTACAATTTCTCTGAATAGAGGAGTCCTGTGTTAGAGGAATTGAAGATGACCCCGAAGAGCCTCTGGGAATGTCCTCCTTCTCACCTTGAACCTCTTCCCTGGTGCCAGTTTCCCCGTGGCTACAAAGCCCTACGGAAGGCAACGTCAGTCCATGCACCGGCCGAGAGACAATGGACTTTGATTAAGAAATTAATTATGGGTAGGAGGCTAAGGATGTGACAGAGTCCACAATTTCCTTTCCTTTCAGATGTCTCAGTAGACTGTGAAAAAAAAATTGCCAACCTATGTGAGATTATCCCTCCCCCCCCAGCGTACACAAGAGTAAAAACACCAGAGCCGCCTTCATCAGCAGCAGTGGGCCATTTTACAAATAAAAAACTTTGTACGTTGCACAGAAAAACCTTTGCAACTTGCACTCCGGCAAATACAAGGGTTTTGTGTGAAACGCTCGATATTGGTGCTAAGCCCCATCTTCATGTTTCTTCACAAATTCAAACAAGGGCAAGGGCAGTCTAGGCAACCCGGCACTGTGGTGCATCATCTCTAGGCGGAAGGACGTACTGTGTACTCTCCTTGTCAGGCTCTCAATCCACTGCCGCCCGGTCGAGTCTCCCAGGAGATAAACCAGTTTTCCCTTCAAGCATGTGGTAAGGTTGTCCATGGTGTCAAAAGCACGCAAATCACAGGAAAGGGGGTGCCATTGGTTCTGCCACACGAAGCCACTAGGAAAGGGGACATTCACCCCAAAAGTGCATTTCTCACTTGCCGGTTTCCGTTCTGGAATAGAGGAAAGAAGGGGAAAGTAATCAGCCATGAGCAGAAGATGGGAATAGCTAAGCGGCGCCTCGACAACCATTTGTCAGAACTCAAGAGTCTCCAAAACAGGAACCAGGAGAACAACAATGATCATCACATCATCATTGCCATCACCAATATCACCATCTGCCATTTTATTACAATGATTCAGTATTCGTTTACATACACCAACGATTTTCAAAAGGGTTTGTGAGCATGAAAGTAAAAGATGCTTCCACAGCATCAACCCTATAGAATGCATACTGGATTCTATAGGGTAGATGCTGGGGTAGATCCCTTGGGTAGATGCATAGGGTATATGCCTTGATCTACTTGTCAGCCAATGACAATTTTTCTGTACCTTTATTTCCTTGTGGTTAGAAGGCATAAAAGCTCTTTGTACTTTTGGGTCAAGGTCCCACGTGTCTGGGGGACCCGAGTGGCCGCCCGAAATAAACAGCGCTTGTTCTCTCTTGACTCTGTGTACAGCCAAATCTCATGGACAAGAGTGGTTTAACACTCCCAGATTTCTTATATCTGGCTCACAGGTTCCAAGGAAGTAAAAGCCACAAGGAAAAATAAAAGGAAGTTGAAGACAAGAAAATGAGCCGAGCAGCCAAAGAAGAATAACAACTAATTAAGGTGGTTGCACAGAAGAAAGAAGTTTTGCACCACCATCTGTTTGGAAAATGTGGCAAAGCGGACACAGGATTGGGAATGGGGAAGGAGAGAAAAGAGGCTATTGCTCACGGTCGCCACCCAAGTTTTCGTGAAGACCGAGAGACATTCAACTCACTTTTGCAGGAGACGACATGAATATCCCCAAGCACGTGAGGGATCTGGACTCCCACGTTAGACCTTCCACAAGAAAGAAAAAAAGGACTCATCTGGTTAAAAATGGACAACATTGTATGGATCTTGAACAGCCCCATTGGTCTGATCATGCCTCATGGTCCCATCAAACTCTCCCTTCTGGACATGGAAGGATGGGTTGGCTTCAGAAACAAAGAGGTTGTTCGGATGTCCCGTCCTTGTGGGCTCAAATCAGGGAACTGGATTGCAATGGATCTGATACGATGCCTGCACCTTCCAGATGCAAAGCAGCAGGAGAAGAGGGTGGTTCATCAGAACCAGTTCAGGTGAATTCAGCAGATAAAATTCCGTGGCTAATGGTGCCCGATTGACAACTTCCTCAGGGTGCATCTCAGTTGCGTCTTGTTTGAGTGCCCGGTTGCACAGCTATGTCGCAGCGCCTCCTCAGTGAGTTGCACTTAGCTGCAGCCAGTTGGACAATGCTCACCTGAATAGGATTCTGGCTGTTGTAACCAACCTGCCTGGGTCAAGATGTGGCCCCACACCTGCAGCCGGAAACCCCCCTGAGGAAGGAGACTTGCACATGGGCCAGGGCCCAGTTTAAAAGCCTCCGGTTGAGGGGAGTCCCTCACCCTTCGAGGCAGTTGAAGGGTCACTGTTGAACCTGGAGTCACTCTCACTTATCAGACATTCTGCTTCCAAGAGCGGAGGTGATCTAGAGCCATCCTAACTGATAGCTTCTGATAGTCTAATGCTCTCTGAAATGGGTCAGTCCACCTCTGAAACTGACCAACATGGTAGCCATCAATACATATATAGTGGGCAGAAATCCCACATTTTAACTATGCACAGATACATCTTTTCATCTATCCTCAATCTTCCCCAGGCAGCATCAACAAACCCAACGCACGGTGAGGAAAGGAGAAAACCTTCTCCTGACAATTATGTGCCCCTATCTTGTGTTTCGCCTTATGAGTCTTCCCCCCCACCCAGCAAAACAGACCCAGGTGTGGCATCTCTTGCTCCTAGAAGAGTTGCTGAAATGTCTCATCATTGTGGGTCAGCCCTTCGTGCAGCTTCTCTAGCTCTACATGACCTTTTGCAACGGCAATGACGAGAACAGTATTATTTTATAGGCCTTCCCCCCATTGACCTGAGACTCAAGGAACCAAACACACAGATTAGCATTGCCCGACACTGAAGCAACAGGAGGAAACTGAGGAGGAAGTAAATACCTCGTTAAAAGAGTCCGTTCCAAGGCTGTGAGATACGAGATGGGTGTGTTGTAGGACTTCAGGCTGACGAAAGCTTCACAAGGCACATTCTTGGGTTTCACGCAGTAGAAGGCCTCCTGGTCTCTCTCGTCCAGATAAGCGCACAGTTCCAGACTTCGGTTCAGCTTGAAACCACATTCAGTGTTGACGGCTGAAGTTCCGTTTAAAAATTTACCCGTGAAACCTATTTTGTCGTAGCCTTTCTTCCTCGCTCTCCAAAGAGCAGAAACAGCTTCACTGGGGTGGATGAGCAAGAGGGAAACGCTGACGTTCCCCTCCCAGAATAAAGTGAAATCAACCAGATACGTCCCATTCCCGTGATCCTGGACAAGCCCGGAGGCGCCAGCCTCAAGGTTCAGCGAGTAGATCCTCGCTTGTAGGAAATCTCCTCCGTGCTCCTTCCTCTTCCCCACGTGGTCGTAGAGATCCAGTCGAACCGCCAAGTGGTCTCCCACGCAGTAAGCGTCCTGGCGGTTTACGATGGTGGCTTGGCTGTTCTTGGCACTTGTGACGGTCTTTATATCCCTGAAAGTAACATTCAGCATCAGCTGGTCCAGTTCTTGAAGGATATTTTTAATCTCTTTCTCCTTTTTTGACCACTCCATCTCAAGATGATACAGAGTGCCATCTTTCGTTGGCCGTATTGTGCTACTGACACCTAGGGCGGAATGAATTTCAGGGTTTAACATTCTATTGCATTAAATAGGAAGTTGTGTCCGAAGACATTCGCCCTCCACGTCCAATTAGACAAGGACTACCTAGTTGGACAGCCACTTTCTGGAGTCCTCGGCTGACCTTTTAAGCGGAAATACCAGGAAGAGCTTTTTCTTCCCATCAACGTTTATCATACGGAATTCATGTCATTCAAAACAAAACCTGGATAAAACTCAAAACTAATCTTGAGTAGCAGGAAGTTCAGTACACATGGTACTTTCTTTAAGTACAGTAATAAATATTGTTCAAGAAAAGAAGAGCAGAAACAAGAAGCAACACAATGTTGTTTCTCATGGGCTGCTACAACCGAAACCAAGATTGCCGTGTGATAGCCGGCCTCCAGTAAGAGGGGAATAATATGATAAGAAAGAAGTATTGCGCCCACCGATCCCTTTGGTAAATCATGAGAAGCCAGGATTCCCGAGCTGGCTGTTACTGTCCTCTTGGGTTCTCCTTCTGGTGAGAGCGGCTTAACAGGTCTCTGGTCTGTTTCCATGTCCCATGACATTTGACTTGGGGATGCTGCCTTGCCTGTCCTCAAAGAAGCCAAAGGTTTTTAAGCTATGACAGCTCGTTGTATCCTGGTTCTGCCTTGTTCAAGAGAGCTGTAACTGCGCCATCGTCAACATAGTTTTGGAAATGAAAAGGAAGAAGGGGCTTACCGTTACCTGTGGCAGCCCAGGCTGCTTCAAGATGATTCCTAAAGTTTCCGTATATTTTGAACTGGAAGAAGGAAGGAGAAAAACATAATTACTGGTGCTCAGAGGGATACGCTGTCTGCTTGACTATCTGGAATTGGCATCGAAAGGCAAATTTGGCTCTCAGGAACAATGGGAAAACAAACACCGTCAGTTAAATGGCAGTGCTGTAGCAAAATTACATCCGTGTGCAGGGCATGGGATTCCCCCTCCAGGAATACGTAGCCAAACATCGTTCTCTAGAAGTATGAACTTCAGTTACTTTTTCTCTTTTCTCGTTTGGGTGGACACAACATGACAACGGGAGGAGACACCCAGCAGTGTTCAAGCGTGTCAGGATTCCTCACCTCCAGGCAAGCAGGTGGGTTTGGTATTTCTGTTTTTCTGTTTCTTTCCTCATCAAGGTCTCCATATTGTGCACCACCCAAACCGTCTCTGCAAAATTTGTGTCCTTTAAGAACACACACACACACACACACAAACACACACAGATACAGAGGGAGGGAGGGAGGGATGGCTGAGGGTTCAAAATGGTGTAAACAATTTGTGAGGCTGACTACAGGAGTGATCGCTGGAACCCATCCAGAACAAGTCTTCAGTTTGCCCAACATTATAAAGGCAGGTGTATATACATTTTCCCCCACTTCCCCTGCCGTTTGCCTAGCAGGGATACTGATTCTTTAGCCAAAACCCAGAAGTAGATCGCTTATTCAGCTGTGTCATGACGTTTGGACGGAGCCCTTTCCCTGCGGATGGCCAGGCTTGATTCGATGGTTCTCACCGAGCCTGTCCATTTCCACGTGGCCCACGCTCACTCGGTCTCTGCTGCTAGTGTAGCCGTGCCCTGTCACAACACACCCGCGGACCAGCTTTGTGCAATTTCTGTTTGGCCAGAGTTAATCGTTTTGCAGTCATCTCCATTAAAAACACCCTGAAACAACAGATGGATATAAACCTATCACGACATTAAAGCCACCACTGAAAACAATTTTAAAAGCATTTTAGCACCCAGTTTTAAAAATGGGTAGAGCACAGGTTGCTGTCCTCTGAAGATGCCCATGGCCACAGAGACTGGTGAAACGTTAGGAAGAACAACCTCCAGAACACGGCCAAAGAGCCCGAAAAACCCACAACAACTGGGTGGAGCAATTGTTTTGCTTATTAATTAAAAAGCCTACCTGAAAAGTAAGGATTTTGCCTAACCATGGAAGGGTTGAGCATTTTTATTGATAGTTTTTTTTTTTACCTTGAACTCAACTCTCTGGAGAGTGTAGCTGAGGATGATGATGGTTAGAAGAACAAGGACCACAAAGCCTGAGGGCCATCTCATGGCAGAAGAAGATCCGTGGGAGGAGACGCCCGAGACAGGAGTCATCTGCTTTTAAGCCCAACCTGGGAGGGGTGACAGGTTGCCGGAAAGCAAGGAAGCAGCAAAAGGCTGCTTTTTTTTTCATCCACCTTCACTTCTTTTCTTTTTGAAATATTTTCTCTATTTTTTAACAATAAGTCAACTAAAAGCAAAACATGGAAATGAAACTTAGCAAAGAGGCCAACCGAACAAATAGGAGACAAAAAACACAAACTATAACGTACACATTCCACTCCATGCTGCCCTCGGGACAAATGTACTTATTTATTTTGCTTTATATTTATTCGCCTGTTTCCCTCCAGAAAAATAATGGATTCTTGAGCCCGAAAAACCCACAACTAAAATCATTTGCACCCAATATGCCTTTTCTCATCTTAATTTCAGACCTTATTTCATTGTTAAGAGCCCGGTGCCACATTTCTTTATACTGTTTCCCCCCACCCCCCAGGAATCTGATTATTATTTTTGGAGTTCCTTGCAAATATCTGTCTTGCCACCGTTACCGTAATAGTAATTATATCATTCCCCTTCTTCCCCCTTCCCCTGATTGTGATTAACCCTCTTCAAAAGAGCTGTCGCCGGGCCGATTTCCCCATCAGTACTCATAATTTCGAAATCTCTGTAAAAATCATCAGCCAGTCCTTCCTCCTCGTTTTACGAGTCCACCACATGTGCTGAAAGGTTCCACTTTCTGTTCTATGTCTCCAACCTAAAGAAGGCATTCCCTCATTTAAGGACCTAACACAGTTTCACCCGTGTTACGTCTCACCTCCATGCCACTTTGCAACCGTTTCTTTTAAAACCTCTTACAGGTGTGGTTTTCATTCTTCTTTCCCTCCCCACCTTCTCCCAAGTCCACTTTCCCCTTCTGGGGTTTCTTCTGCAACTCTTTGGAGGCCCTGCAGGGCCCTCCGAGGGTCTTTCCCTCACGAGGCGCCAGCCTCGAGGTTCAGCGAGCAGATCCTCACTCATAGGAAATCTCCTCCGTGCTCCTTTATCTTCCCCACGTGGTCGTAGAGATCCAGTTGGACCGTCAAGTGGTCTCCCACAGAGTAAGTGTCCTGGTTGTCTGTGGCACTTGCGGTGGCTTTTATATCCGCGAATGTCACGTTGGGGATCAGCTGATCCAATTTTGTAACAATCTCTTCTATTTCTTTCACCTTTATCGACTGTTCTACATGTTTAGAGCTTGCAATGCCAGTGTTCCCTGACCCAGGGCTGTTTCTGCTATCTTCAACTGATTAAAAAAATTAAGTTGAATGCCCGTATATTAATTCAGGTTACAACCAGAACTAAATCAGAACAGTAGGGATTACGGAACAATGTGCCTTACCTTCTTCAACAATGTGGTGCAAATTTTTATTTTTCCTCATTAAAATAATAAGAATTGCTTGCAATCCATTTTTATTCTCCTTGTCATATTACTCGAAAATAATTCCTGAGGGGAGTGCAAAAATCAGGAAGCCCTTATCACCATCTCTAGTGACGTAGCCCACTTGCCTGATGGGACCGCTGAAGATGGTAGTCTGGAGGATGGAATGAAAAATAATAATAACAATAAGAGCAATAAGGCCATGACTGAATAGTAAAGCTTGTTTCTGCACCTTGAAAACCCCAGGTTCTATCGCTGGAATCTTTGGGTCTTAAAAAAAAAAATCAGGTTGGAAGTCCTGGAAAAGACATGTTCTTTTGGACGGCTGATGCTCCTCTAAATACAAAAAACTGGAACGAAATCAGCCTTTCAGAAACTTTGGATCTCATGTCTTTTTCTGAAGAAGCCAGAGGGCACTGGAGACCAGACCACGTCGGAAGATCTTGGACTTTCAGGGTAGAGAGTTCATGCTCCTAGGGCATGGAGTACTCCTCAAGAGGAGAGCTCTGCTCCTTGACAAACCTTATGCTGATGTCCTTACACCTGAGCTGAGAATGGAGCCCACACACACACGCCGTGTCAGGGGCCGTAAGTTCCAGCTTCCTAGAGAAGCTGTAGGAAAGCCGTGTCTGCCTCTGACCTCTCTGTTAAACCCCCTGGGCCTAACTCTGACCAAGCCTTTGCTGCCAGACCTTCCACTCTCTGTGACTCTCTTCTTGGGCTCCCTTTCCTTGACCTTCTGGCTCTCCGGTTGGACTTTACTGGCTCGAAGCCTGGACGGCTTCTTTGCTCACCCTTTTCGCCGCCTTTTTGCCTTGGATCTGGAACTGCTGTCTCCGAAGTGGACTGACCACGGATGCATAGAATGAAAGCTGTTGTATGCGAGACCTTGCCCCCGAGGTGACCTGACCCCAAACACGACACTTTCCCTTGCCCTGATTATGTGCTCTGTCTGTACTTTTCTGCAAAGCAAATACTCTGCTCTGCAGACCTGTAAGATCTAGCCACTAGAATCAGGAGGATACCCCTATTGCTTCGCTCACCTTCCCCTCATGCTTGTCATCTGTAGCACATTTTCGTAACCCGTCCCTGAATTTACATTTTTTGTTTAGATATTTTCCTTCTTCTTTTTCCAAAGTCTAATATATATTCCTCTCCATAAATGCCAAAACAAACAAACAAACAAACAAAAATACACCCACCCCATCCACATTTTAAAGTAAGTGAACACGCCGGACCGGAGAAGAAGGACCTTCCAACAAGGACGGGCAGAGTCGAAGCTCATAGGATCAACTTGTTTTCCTGTTTCAATCCCAAGATTGGGGGGGGGGCAACATAGAAAGAGCCTCCCCAAAGCACATGAGGATTGTGAACACATCTGAGTGCCGTATGTGTGTGTGGTGCTGTGGTTTTCACTGGATGTGTTAAATGCAGCTTGCACAGAATTCCTGCCTTTTCACAAAACTCATGTCTTTTCCCTTTGTGAAGCTAAGCACCCATACAAATGTAGACATCATCATAAGGATAAAATAACAGGCTGATTGATCACAAAGACACAAGCAGCTCATCCACTGCTGCTGCTTTTACTACTCCGCACAACAGCCATCAATACTGAAAATGGAACAGAAATGCACTGACTCTCCCCCCCCCAATGCTCGGTTTTCTCCGAAAGACATGCAAACAGATGTGGTTTACATTCCAAAGACAATTTTGATGACCTGCATGCATCTCCTTTTAAGGATTATTTAAAACAACAACGACGAATCACATCTTTTTCACATTTGAGTGAGCACCCTTTTAAGATACAGAAACATCATGAGACATAGTGAGATCCTCATTTTGTGACTGTGGTTGTGAAACAAATGAGGAGCTGGAGACCTTTGGGGATCTGCAAAAAATCAACCAGAAATCCTATTTTAACTTCTGCATGCTTCTGGATCAAAAGAGTTGTGTGCTCTTTCTTTTACTGCCATTTTCAAAGAAAGGGCTTTTAGACCCAGAAAACTCTCAGCCACCTGCAAACCCAGTAAAGTGTCCAGGGGAGCCTAGGCTGGCCCCAGCCCTGTTGATTTTTGCTGGTTCAATCATCAATCCAAAGGGAGATTGCAGCGAAGAAACCAGAAGATTGAGACTCAGAAGGGCAGCAATGAAGGAATTAATAAAAGATCATCAAGTGGAAGGATGTGTCACTGGAAACTTAAGACCAAGATTATCCACACTCTGGTACTCCCACCGTTCACCGTGTAAAGGTGTGAAACCCGGATAGTAAGAAAACTGATAGGGGAACGGGAAAAAAAAGAGAGATTTGTTTGAAATGCAGTGCTGGAGAAGAGCTTTGTGGATACCGTG